CATTTAAAATTTCGGGCGATTTGAAGTGCCTAGCAAAATTATTTATCCGTATTATAGACCCAGTTTGGCTAAATAACATTTTTTTTCCGCCTTCGATTTTTCAACTAATTACTTTAAATGAAATAATATCTTTTCTCATATAAGACAACGCTTACTGTACGATTCATGGGGGTACGGGTTCGCCAACTTTGCTCACCTACAGCGCTGCAGTCATTTTTTTTATCCCCTCTAACCTGATGCACGGAGCGAATACTCACCATGAAATGGAATTTTCACCAGGCTAGCTAGCTAGCTACGTGGCTAGCTGGCTAGGTGGCGCGTAGGCGCTTCCGTATATGCTGGCAAATATTCTACAGCGAGGTATATATGGGTACACACATATACACACACTTGTAGGGGTATGAGGCTCTTTTACCGTCAAGCTTGAATCAGATGGCGCCAGAGCACGTCGCGGCTGTTATGGCCGTCGCACTTACACACCGTCAAATTTACAGTTGTGTATTGTGTTAGTGAGCCTATCTGTGTAATGAGCAAAGCAGAAGACATAACCTTTGTAAATGATTGCTGTTGTTTGCAGACAATTTTTGTTTGCGTTTACGTTTAAAGATAGTAGGAAAAATGAAGTGCAGTGTAATATCCTGCGATAAGAAAGTGAAATTCAAATTTCCTTCTGATAGTGTGATAAAAAAAAAGTAGCTTGAAGCAATTGGGAGACCAACATTTTTGCCGCTCCCAAGTCATGGCTTATGCCTCGACCACTTTGCCTCCACGAGTTCTGCTTTTCTTCCACTGACTCTTGCTCCTTTCCCTTTTAAAAGCTTTTTCAATTCTGAAACTTTTAAGCTCCTATAATATTCATTCTTGTCTTCCTTATTCATTTCAAAATTTCAAATATTGCGCTTTACCACTACACTTTACTTTCCTATGTACATACAATACTGAAAAGTAATGTTGTGTGAGTGAAACGGCCATGACAGCCGCGACGTGCCCTGGCGCCATCTGATTCAAGCTTGACGGTAAAAGTAAAAGAGCCTCATACCGTTCGGTTATCTCCGAGTATATATTTCGGAGTCTCGGCCAGCGGTGCGCGCATAGAGATAATATAAGGATGGAATGTCCTCTCCATCTCTTTCTAGCTGAGCGCTGTGATTGGCTGAATGGCTGCTGCTCAAGGGGGTATCCTGGCCGTCAGCGGCAGTTACTGACATAGGTTATTGCCTCTTGAGTATCAGCCAATCACAGCCCTCGGGTAGAAAGAGACAGAGAGGACACTCGGCAACCATCTCTTTCTTTTACCGTATCGCTGTATTCAGCCTCTAGCGGCTCTAACGCACTCTATCCTTATATCTCTATGGGTGCGCGTGCGCTAGCTCACCCTCTCCTCCTCTCTCTCTTTCCCTCTTCGGCGCACATACACACATCGAGAGAGATATATCACACATATATATTTCTCTCTCTTTTTACTGCATATACATATATGTATTTATGTATTCTCTCTTCTTAATTCCTTCCTTTTTCCTTCTCTCTCTCTCTCTCTCTCTCTTTCTCTCCTTCGCAACAACGATAATTGCGCAAATTTCGTTGAGCCCGCGCCGCGCTCTTTTTCCTCCATAATATACTGCAAGTGTTTAAATATATGGGAATATGGGTATTACAGATACATCGTTTTTGCTTTCACAGCACGCGTGTGCGTGCACAATACATGTACGGCCCATTTTGTTTTATTTTGCTCTATATTTTGACTCATGAACGCACACGGACTGTCTAATATAAACAATAACAAACGTGGGGGCGGGTCAGGAGAGGAGGAGGGGGGGGGGTAAAAACAACGCATAACCAACCACCCTACCCTATATTATACCCCTTAGTGAGGGTACCTGTAAAGGTTAAAATACGAGTGTGTCAGGCATAAAATCGGGGGAGAAAAAATAAATGACTCACTGAAATGCGACTAAATAACTTGACATCCAATCTTAATTTTTTGTTTTTCACTTACAAACAGTAGATTAAGTGGGGGGAAAAAAATGGATGAAAAAATGTAATTAACATCACACAACTGTCACTTGACTGGCAAGCGTCACGCTATATATACTCACTGTAAGACAACACGGGCGATGACGAAGTCGACGTGACGACCTTCGACGGGAGGTGTACGTATATATACACACATATACAGCTCGGCACACTTTTTTATCTTCGTATGCTTATGGACTTGGTAACAACAGACGGGAAACAAGCACAGAACACATGCACTTATATTTGTCGCACCCACTCAAAGCACAATTCCACGACAGCTTCGACGATGACGAGGACCCATCGGCCGCCGGGTCATCAGCCTCTTCTGCCGCTCCTCGTCCCGTTGACGATCGGCCAGCAACAACGGCGCGTCCGATCTTCCCGCGACTTTCAACTTCAATCTTCCACGTCCTCATCGAGTCAAGTACATTTTACATCACACTGTACGCGTATACACATCCCACTTCCGCGACTCTGTTGCTGATTGTTTATTCATCAGATTACCGGCCATCAGCTCTCACTGCCGCACTTTGATTTCTTCACCACGAGATAACACCTTTTTTTCCAACTTTACACACACATACGACTACGACAAGCAAACGACTCGCTCAAGCGGCTCAGGGGTGCGATGTTGGGGATAATCCACAGCTGTTATTGACACCTCTTGTATTATGTTCTTATTCAGCGGTGGTAAGCAACAACAAACGTGGCACACGTAGTAGACTCCAGGTAAATTTGAAAGCTATAGTGTTTTAACGTGCGGCCCGCATCGCCGCCGCCGCCGCTTGACAACGCTCGCTCCGTCTGCGAGTCACGTGGCCTCTCCTCCGATGTGGTGTCTCTCCGTGTACGCAAGAAAGGTGGTCGACCTCCTCTCCTCTCGTTGTTGTTGCTTTTTCACACCATATTAGGTAACACGTACGATGTATACAGACTCGCCAGGAGATTTTCAAATTCGTGGCGAGAGCTTCTACCGAAGCAAAAAAAAAAAAAAAAATGCGTCAACTGTAACAACGAAGAGGCTCCCTCGCGGTTAACTACTAAGTATACCGCAGCGCTGCGCAAACACAACACAATCTAATCGGCCCCTCCACAAATGAACTCGTCCACCGGCGGCGAACGGCGGCAGTTCGGATACTTAAAGAAAAAAAAAAAAAGGTTGTTGATATGCGTTCAAACGCCGCAAGCTCTACTCTCTCGGTTGACGTGTGTTTATATATAGGATATCTTCTCACGTTCGATTGGTAACTTTTAAGCACTGTCCTTTCAACTAACGGGTTATATTTATAGGTAATATGTCTGACACCGTCTCAAAATACATTACCGCGTTGTTAACACGCGTATGGTGTACAAGAGCGCGGGAGGTGATTCAGGCGATGCGTTTGCCGTCACGGACGATAATCCTGTTGGTGGTGCAGGGCAGCAGAGCGTCGACGGCGGTGCCGGGGGTGATGGGACAGCGGCTGCAGACGTCGGACGGTCCCCCGACTCTTTTTCTTCCTCGTCTCCAACTTCATTCGCGAAACTAGCCTCCGGGGGGGCAAGAAGAAAGCTTTCACTCCGTGGCCTTACCCCTGTATTGTATGTGTGTACGAGAGGGTGGCCGAAAAAATAATATAATGATGTATTGCGCGGAGAGGAAAACACACGGGGGTTGCACTTGGCTGTCATGAAAAGAGCCGCGCTGTCGGAAGCCGCCCCTGCGTTTCATGTCCCTCCTTGGACTTGCGCAGGCGCTTCACAGTTGAAAAATATGAAAACAATCAAAATTAAAATGTACACCTGTATTTTACAATAATTTATATCTGTATATATGAGTACAGTACATAAATTAAGGTATCGTTACCGATCCACTGGACAATTCGTAATAGGCATGGTGTGAAAAGAAATTTGGTTACGCCGTCAAGAGGGTGGTTTTTACTTTTTTGCATTTTTGCTGATATCCGGTGGACGACGAATTTGGTGTTTTCACTGGGTTCTAGGGATTTCCTGGTTTAGTAAAGTTTTAGGGTCACCCAATGACCGGGTGTTGGTCAAATTATCAAAAAAGTGCGAAAATTTGAAATACGTGAACGCGATGGTTTATCTGATCTAGATAACGTTCAATATGGTAATTAACTTTGGTTTTTTATTTTTTTAAAGCAAACCTTTTTTTAACCTCGTTTTAACTGAAACACTGTATGACTGTATGGAATGATAATTTTCACCAAGTTCATTATCCAATCAATGTTTACCGATTCGTTCAAAATCACATTTTTTTACTTCCAAACGTTAATTTTTAACCGCAACCATTAAAAACTTACTTTCGTATTTCGTTATAGGAGCAGAATATTTTATTACTTGGAGATCAATGTCATCAACAAGTAATGTAGCAATGTATTCTATAAAAGTGAATTTGAAAAAAAGTTTACTTAATAAGTAGCAATCAATATTGGTAAATATGGATTTTATTAAAATTTAAAAGGTATTACAATAAAGTCATCTTTCTGTGAATAGTAACTATTGAGAAAGATTTATTCATACAATTTAAATTGTGAACAAGTTGGAAAAAAAAGAAAAATTAATTTTTATTTTTTCCATTGTTTTATATCACAGTATCAATATAATTCAATGTTAAAGCTACATATTAATATTGTAATTTTTAAAGTATGTTACATAAAAAGTTTAAAAAAAAAAAAAGATTTTTCTGTTGTACTTCAATCCAACTCTTGTATATTGATGATTGCAGATGTGGGTATGTTGACGATTGTAGATGTTTGACACCCCAACTGGAGACTGAAATAAAATCTTGAGATGCTGGCAATTGCAAGTTTATTAAAAAAGTAGTTACGTCGAGTCGTTATCATTCAAATTATGCAATTGGTAGATACAACTAAATCAAAGAACTAATAAAATCGTGAAACTATTAAATTTTTTATATAATCAATGTTATACAATCAAAACGTATTCAGGGGTATGGAAAATAAACGACTTGCGATGTATTATAAACAGTGATTATTTATTAGACGTGTTTATAAGATATTATCGGTTTCATACTTTAGTTCTACATGAAAAAAAAGCTATTGAAATTTTTTTTTGGTACTTATAAGCTTTACAAGCTTATAAAAAGAAAAAAAAAAAAAAAAAAAAAAACGAAGTAAATGAGAATTGTGTGAAGGCTATGCTTATAGAGAGAAGTCTTTTGAATATATTGTACTTCCTGAACCAGAGCAGTACAATTTACAATGAATCCATCGTCTTGAGAGTACATAAAAAATTATTGACCATTCCGATCAAGAAGCTTTGGCTGATCCTTTCTTCAATACATATATTGAAATACAATTTCAAGTTGTTACTTTGCTGGATCACTAGAAATAGAATAAACAAAAGAAGAAAAAAAAAAGTATAAACTCTTATGTAGAAAATTGTTTTAAAATTATGCAGAGATGAATAACGCGCTCGCAATATGAAGACAGCAGTTATTTACATGAAAACTTTTTCCATAGACGGCACGTTTTTCGAAACAATCATCGTTGGGGTTGATTAGATACACTAGAACAGCTGAAAATTTACTAGTCAGCTCAAAACAAAATGAGAAAGATTTCTCTCGTCGTGACTTGAAACGAAACCAACGTACGATTGTTAAAACGAGCTTCAACGGAAAAAGTATCGAATCTTAACGCTTAAAAGTTCGGCCTGAATTGACCGATCCTACCCCCGCGGAATGGGGTTCTCTTTGTTGACGGCTGATTGCGCAAGGCCGCTGCTATACCCGCACTGCCCTTAGCATTGTTGTACTGTGCTCCGCTGTTCATCCTTTGCCACGAGTCCTGGTCGAACACGCGTTCCTCAATGATTTCCAAATCGTCGCCTTCGTCCATGATGGGCGGTGGACTGTCCCTGCCTCGAGGTATCGGCTCGTTCCTGTCTATCTTCATTGAGTCTCGGTTGAAAGAGTTATCAAATCTGTTGCGCAGATCGTAGTCATCCAAAGGTTCCCTGCGTGCACCAAAGTCGCTGATGGGTCCGCCACGGTTGCCCATGTCCATTAAACTGCTTATCGGTGGCCTGCCCCCATCACCCCGTAGTTCCATCATGAGCTCGTGCTCTCTGGGCATGTTCATGCCTCGCATTTCCATCTCGCGTCCTCTTATCTCGCGCTCTCTTAACTCACGTTCCATCATCTCGCGCTCCCTTATCTCCATCTCCCTACCCCTATGGTCCATCATGCCCCGGTCCATTATACGATCGCGCGCGTCCATCATCCTACCGGAACACTCAACACCTGGTCGGTCGCGCATCATGTCCATACCCCGCATGTCCATAACTGGACTGCTGACGGGTCCTCCGTGCATGTGATCCTTCACGGATTGTCGTGGAGGCGAGAAGTCTCTGTTCCAGGGATTGGCTCGGTTCGAATTGTTGCTCAAGCTCCAGCGCAAATCTTCACTGTCGCGTATCGGTGGCTTGCCGACGTTCTGATCTCGCATGTTCCAGTCGTGTCGGTTGCCGCTGCGCTCGTCAAAGCCACGTCTGTCCTCGAAATTGTTGGTCCGCTCGTCGAAATCGCCAACGACGTTTGGACCACGGCGATCGTCGACCAACGGTACGAGCTCGTCGGGTCCGACTTGCATGCCAAAGTCAATCATGGTTAACTCTTCGGTCTGCACCGCTTTCACCTCCATCGTTGTCTCTTCCGTTTGGCAGATTTTCTGCAGTGTAATCACGCGCTTGCTGCCTGCAATCTTGATGTCGGTCGTTCCCTGGGTCATTTGGTTGAATTCCTCCTCCCAGTGGATTTCGGTGCGGCCTTTGCGCAGCAGCACAGAGTTCGACGACGGCAGATCCTTGACATCCTTGGCTACGAGCTTCTTGTTCGGATCGAAGAAAAAGCGCCCCTTCATGTTGAGCCTCGGATCCTCAGTTGGTAGACTGCGCAGAGCTCGCTCGCATTGACGTATCACCTCGGGCTTGAATCCTATCGTCGACAGATTAAGATTGTTACGTTTGACAAGCACCGGGATCGTTTTTATTTTTATTTTTATTTTTTTTGGAGGGTCAGTCACGCTAGAAGATAAAATCTATAAGTCATGCACATGAAATTTTAATACTACTCACCTTTGAATGACGCCGTTGAACTGGATACATCTAAAGTGGAAGAAAACAAATAAATCATCAAGTCAACTTCTTTTTTTTTTTTTTTTCATTCTCAAGGCTACTTAGAGACTAATAGTTTCATGCATTGTACACAACTTTTTTTTTCTCTCCATACAATTACAAGTTTTGTCGCACGCAATGACTTGTGAACAAAATTATACAAAACAATCATTAATTTCGCTTTTGATAGTGCTAGAAGTCTGAGTGGTAGACAGAAATGTGAAATATCCACACCTTTGGTCGTTGTAGTTGAAACCGACGCTTCCAAGAGGCTGGACAAGCTGGTCTTTTCATTTGGCTAAAAATACAAAGAATGCTCTCATGTAATGGAATGGGATCCATAATGGTGTACTTATATACCTATTATTGTGATTGGTGACAAAAAAAATGATTACATCGACGTGATACTAGTACATACAGGTCGCAAGGCTTAGCGAGTAAACGGCCTCGACAACCTCTGACAATAGAATTGAACAAGTCAAGTTTCACACAATTAGACATAAACAACAAACATTGGTAAAGCATTATTACTTTGAAGTCTGATATGATGGGCGGCTCGGGTGTCCTAATGCGTTCTTCGAGCTTGTGCATGGGTGATTCTCGTAAATCAGGCGAGTACATTGGTCCAGGTACCGGTCCTGCTCCCATAGGCTGCTGCACCGGGACTCCGGGATACATGGGTGCTCCGGGCGCAGGAACTGGCTGCGGTGACATGGGCTGCGGCGGCATTGGCGCTCCCATCGGTAGCCCAGCTGGATTGTACATTATCGGGCCAGAGCCGTAATCCGGAGCTGGCAGGCCTCTGTTGAGCGGGTCGAAGCCCATGACGGGATCGAAATTGCCAAAAGGCGGTGGACCCTCGGGTCCGGGGTGCATCATGGGCCCGGTGGCTAGAATCTGCGCACCCATGTCCATGGCGGTCATACCTAGCGGTACCGGCAGGGGCATCATACCCGGGGGAGGCCCACCACCCGACATCATGCGCGGGTCAAGAGGAACAACCGGTGGCATGTACGGATTTGGCGGTGGCCCACCCCCCGGACCCAAGGGCATCTCGGGACCTGGCCTAAGCGTATCAGCGCTGAACTGACGAGCGAGCTCGTTGATAAATGGCGAACGACGTCGCGGTCGCGTGGGTGATCGGCTGTGGGTCGGTGTGCGTCGACGGCGTTCGTACGAGCGGCTTCGCCTGCGCCGATCGAAACTGCGACTTCGACGACGATCGTAACTCCTGCTCCGGCGTCCGCGATCCATGCTCCGGCTGCGATGACGCTCGCGGGAGCGGCTCCTATCTCGATCGATTACGTTCCTCCTATATAGTGACATCAAATCAGACCGTCACCTCCGTGCACCTGAATATTTCATTTCCTCGCGATTGCAAGTTCTTTTTTTTTCGCACTTATCATATACGGACTACAACTGCTCAAAAGTTTCAAAATAATACTGACTTGGCTGTTGCATCGGCGAGTGCAACGATGCTTGTTTAATTTTTATCATCACAATCTCCGAAAGACTTGTGTACTACGGTTTGGACATTAATCTGTTAATGCCAAAGTAACTGACAAATTAGCGCAACTTGAAACACGAGACACGACACTGCGGTAGAAAAAAACACGACACCTAACATACAGAAAATCACCGACACTCGATACTACTACCTAAGTTACCTGGCTATTTTGACTCTCTAATTTTGAGTATCTTTATCAAGTGTGATTTATGATTGATTTTTTTTTTCTTTTTCTAATTTCGTACACGTTATTCGACTCAAAGTTCTATAATTGTAAAAATTTCGAAACGAAAAGTGTGTTCAAACATTTGGGTGTTTTGGCTCGAATTAGAAAACCTGATACCCAATTTTCAAAATCGTGTAAAACCAAATTAATTTAGCGACGTCTGAAACTGCGGCTCGTCTATAGCGTAACATCGAGTGACAATGCACGCTAAACAGAGTAAACGCTGACCCATGCATGCAAGCAATCATTGAGCGATACTTAACAAAGAGGCTTGCAAACATCTCACAAAAATAATACATCATTGCGTAATCATGTAAGCCCGAAATTGATGATCGCCTTGCACTTTGCGGTTCTCTTGTATAGTTTTTCATAAAAAGATGACCATAGAAAACATAAACAGGAGAGACCGTCAAAACGAGCAACAATTCGAGCCTGAAGCTTCTGAACAGCATAAAATGAAGGTACAATAATCTGTTACCGTTCGCGCAAACGTCTCCTGGAGAACTCCCTCCTCTCGGCGCTTCCCTCCTTGTCCCTGCTGCGCTTACGCGTGAAGAACTCGAATGATGGAGAACCTTTTCTGCGCCTATCGGGACTCGGGCTCTTGCGCTTTGGCGAAAATCTGATTGGGCTCTTGCGCCGAGGGCTCTTGCGTGGGCCCAATCGACTGTGCACTGGACTGCGTTTGCGGTTATCCCGGCTACGCATACGCTCGGGCTCTTCATCGTTTTTCTGCTGGCTCTTATCCGCGATGATCTGAATGGCCTCCTCTTCTGTACCAGGTGGAACCACGTCGTTCGAGTCGAGTAGAGTCTTGATTGCCTTCTCTTTCTCTGCCAGGGCCTTGGTATCGTTGTCCTTTTTAGTGCGGGCCTTGTCCTGCTCGATGTCTTTGTTGCTTTTGCTTGGGTCACGACGAACCTGGTCTCGCCGGCTTATCCGTTCCTGACGGCCACGGTCGCGATCACGGTCGCGATCTCGATCACGGTCTCGCTCCTTGTCCCTATAAATAAGCTCAGCTTGTTATTTTAAAATTGCCATCATAGGTACTACAATTACATGCAACAATGTACAACAACGCGTTTCAACGATCAACTGCTTCATGTACAACTGAAACAGTCTCTTGAAGGATATTTGAGGGTAATAATACATTTGTACCATCTAATTACTTTTTGCAGCTTAATGGTAAGTTACGTTTCTAGTATTAACTTTTTCTATGCGATGAAACGTAATTAAATAACAATACATTGAGTTTATACCTTACTTAATAACCACTCAACAGTTGGTAAGGGATATCTCATAAGTTTTCTGTTTTTCTGAAGCAGCTGTGCTTGTCAAAATATACATGTCATGTTTGACAAAAATCCAGTTTTATACAAAAAAAAAACAAGTATAAAACGATTTTTAATTAAAAAGGTATAAATAATATGGAAATCACACCATTGCACTAAGGGATACTGTAAGGGCAGTGCACAAGGATGTAATTTTTTTTCATTCAAGTTTCCATCACCTCCTCATACATAAATAGATTTAAAATTGACTACACTTCCTTACGTAATTTCACAATTAGGTCATTTTCAATGCACACCATGTACATTGGTATAAATCATGCCTATTTTCCTGTGCTCCAGTATTTCATCACAGTGCCCTCACTAATTTAAGACCCATGTAAAAACAACAAGCTAAGGGGTTTTAAAGACCAATTCAGTTGAGTTAACAAGACGTCAAATTCTAATTTTAAAGGATGTACCTACACTAATCAAGCCTTAAGACAACGTGTGCTCTCAGATTTTACGTTACACAACAATGAGAGCCACATAGAAGTACAGAGAGAAGAGACGTGAGGTATCGAGATTATAAAGACAAATCCCCCAGGCCTCTTGCGTGGAAATTATACCTGGAGTTCCTCTTGTCGCGGCCGCGCATGCGATCCCAACTTCGGCGCCGGGGCCTGTCCTTCTCCTCCTCGTCATCGATCAGCGCCTCAAGGTCATCCTCGTTGTTCTGAAGCTCGATCTCGGCTTCGCCTCTATCGTTAACTTGATCATCGTCTGCCGCCGGTAACGTGTTGCCGTTTTCCCGGTTGACGCCCGTCATCTTTGACGGTGGGAAATTACAGCTCAAGGAAGCTCACCTCGTGGCTTGGCTTAGTAGACCATCAGAGATAATATATGTATATATAATACGTGTATCGATGCAACGAGTGCATGAGTGAGGGAGCCGCACCACACACTGTAGTTGTAGTGCTGTACAGTAGGGAATATAATTAAGTAAATCTACGTATACAATTCAATTCACAAAATGTATCCGGATGATGGTGCACACAAATAAGACTTTGTCTTGCGATGCGAGAGTGTGTATGTATATGATGTAAGGTTGCTTAATTATTAGTCGTTGGGAAGGTAATTTATAATTGGAGTAAGGGAAAATGCCATATACCTATACAGACTGTACCGAGATCGCCAAACGCGCACTATAACGTCAATACTTTATTTAATAATCACATATCCTTCCCTGTGAGACCCACTTTCTCTCTCTAATCGACGAACTTGCATCGGCGGTACGGAATACTAATGCGAAAGGGGAACCGAATGTGTTTCCTGAATTGTCCCCGGCCGGGTGCGTTGGAAACTTGCAAACCTTGCAAGTCGAAAACGGAAAATGTAACAAAACGCAATCCTTCGAAATATGAGAAGAAAAAAAGAGAGACGCGTTTCTACTTGCTTCCTACATCTGCAGAACTTTAATTAGCCATGTTTGTTTTGTATATAACACGAGGGGGGGGGGGAGAGGGAGGGAAGAGAAAAAAATGTAAGGGCGTTCGATTATCAATTGTGCCATTACTCAATAAGGTCCATTCGGTGAGTTCAGTCGTTGTGCTTGTTCCGTTCGCTTTTAGTTAAGTTAAAGAGTTTTCGTATATATACGACAATCTAATTAAATACAATTTTCATTTATAAAAATAAGCCAAATAAGTAGGGAAAATTAGTTTACACCGTTTAAAAAAAGTTCCAACTCGAAGTCATTCGATCCGTTGTTTTTAAACATAGGTTTCGTGGAATATCGCATTTTTTGTGAAATGACCCATGTATAGATAGATTAAAGCTATAAGTTCCAATTTATTATAATTCATATATTTTAATGGTTTATCATCAGTTTTTGGCACTTACCGGAAAAATTCTTAGTTTATTTATTCGTTTTGCCTAAAAATTAATCCATTGACGCGATAAATTTTTCAATTTACTATTTTACACAAAAATTTTTTCAACAAATATAAGCAAAACTTTTTGCTCTAAAAACAGCAGCAAATAACTTTTAATTTTCTTTTATATTGTACTATATTATGAAGTAGGTATATGATTTCTTAAAATTGTTGCGTGCTAGTCCACAAAAGCTGTCACGATTTTAGTTTATTTGTGTTTTTTTTCATCTTGTCTTGAAAAGTGTTCAAAACATTAAAAAAGTAGTTAATAAAGGAGTTGCTAAATTGTTGGCTAATCATTTTTTATCTCCACAAATTTAAAAGACCAATGATGATTTGGAAAAAAATTGTGTTGGGAATTAATGGACGTGTAAAATCATATTAATGTGACTGTATTATTTATATGTACTTAATTTGTTGTGATGGTGTGTAAATAAAAATTTTGATAAAAGTTCTATAACGTATTTATTTATGACAAACATAATATTTAAATAATGTATACACGGCTAAGAATTATTTTTATATCATCGAATAATGTACAATTTATAACTTTTTACACAATTTTTACACATAACTTTTCAACCAAAAATTTTGGTTCCCAATGGCTGTATATAATTTATTAAAAAGCCATTTGTTCGATAGTTTTATCAAAATAGTTGTGAATTCAACAAATGACTGTGTGTAGAAAACAACTACCCCGATGCCATTGAAGAAAATCAGGCTGTAATTTTAATCATGAAACCATACAACTGCTTGTCAAAAGGGTATCTTAAAGATTAAAGTATACCATATGGAGGTGCTGTAACGATGGGTGATGTATTAAAAAACATCAAACCTTTTGAGAAGGAGTCAAAGTGTAAGTAGAACACCTCTTCTTGAAAAACATGATGCACGAACTCAATACTACTATTTTAAAAATTGAATTAACGAAGAATGCAAAATAAAGCAGAATACGATTCTGATGAAAAATTGTTAGATGTCTGTATGGATGAAAATAATAATTTAGATAGATGATAGAAAATCGATATTGATCGCTTTCTCTATGTTTCCAGAAAGCAGAAAATTTTTGAGAATGAATGTGTACAGTTAATTTTACAAATCCCTATCCCTATAGTTTAACGTCCTATAATGACGGTGGTATGCTAAGATCACTATTAAGACACCGAGGTGTATCAAAATAACGACTTCTCATCAGTTAATTAGTACATATTAAAAATGAGTCATTACAAATCTAAATATTTTATATCTTGTCAAAGTAATTTATCATGAAGATTATTACGAAGAAAGAAAAAATTAAAGAAATTCATATAAGTGAGATAGTAAAAGTTTATATCTTTGGCGTTAAAGTGAAATAATTTTATTAAGATANCACAAGTATACCCAAGTATACCACAAAACCCACTTTGCATGAAGTCCGGCTTGGGCCTTCGGGTTCGGATTGTGCATGGCATGGACACTGCGTGGACTGCGGAGCTGGGGTACATATGAGGCAAAAAATTAATACCCGCCGCCAATCTCTCATACGTTAAAATCCTTTGTGATTTGTAGACTGAAGAATTTTTGCCCTGTAGTATTACCATGATGAGTCACATGGGTATAAATGAATTTCCAGAGGCACAAAGTTTAAACCGACGCCAACCGAGCCCAATGAATGGAAACAGAGTTAAAGACGTTACAGAGAAGTACCATTGGTGGCAGAGTTGGAACTTATCGACGACCCGAAAATGAACAAAAGGGCTTTTGAAAAATTTGTCCATATATGTCGTTCATGGCCATTTTTCCAAATGGCTTCTTTCCATTTTTATCAAAATTTTCGACCGATCCATATGAAATTTAGTATGTATACTGAGGGTTATCAAACACATATTCTACCAACGTCAATATCCATTCCATTCCAAGTCTTAATATTTGATAGAACACAAGTTATAGATTTTCGAAAAAATGGTCAAAAAACGCGATTTTTTGCAGCTTAGCCAAAAACTATTGTGATAATCTGGGCTCAACAAAACTCATTCGATAAGTCTTGTCGTTGCGCACTTTTAACTATTACACTACACTTTTTTTTCAAATGCTTAGTTTTTCCGTTAACCGCATAAAACCGTTTTTTACGTTTTTCAAGATTTCTCATAAAATGGCATGTATGGGTGATTCTGTCGTAAGTGGCTCAAAAATTTGCGAAAGCTCATTTTTAGCGATTTTTGTCGCTCCTCATGGAACAATTTTTTTTTTCAATCGATAGGGTTTAATCCCAGATTTTATTTCATCTGAGTTAGAACACTTTAACTACACGCATCAGAAGCAGAAGTATTTTTTTCGAAAATTGACTAAAATTGACTTAAACAAAATACCGTACGTCTTTTTACTCAAAAACTTTGTACTTATATAGTATGGAATCGTTTTGGATTTTGTTGTGGATGGTATTTGAGGTACAACTACTATGAAAAATAATTTTTTCAATCCCCATTTTTTTAACGATTCTTCAAGGCATTTTGAGCCACTTACGGCAGAATCACCCATACATGTCATTCTATAAAAAATGTTAAAAAACGTGAAAAACGATTTTTTGTAGTTAACGGAAAAAAATTGTGTAGTATAGTTGAAAGTGCGCAATGAAAAGACCAATCAATTGAGTATTGTTGAGCTCCGATCGGTCCATTGATTTTTAAGTAAGTTGCAAAAAATCGCGTTTTTTTTTACCATTTTTTCGAAAATCTATATAACTTGCGTTCTATCAAATATTAACATTTGAAATGTGATAGATATATTGATGTTGATAGAGTATGTGTTTTATAATCCTCAATACTTATACTAAATTTCATAAAGGTCGATAGCAAACTTTTGGAGAAACTTTAAAAAAACTGATAAAAGGCCCTTTCGGGAAAATGGCCACGAATGACGTGTAGACTCTTACCAACTTTTTTTTAAACGATTCTTTAACGAATTTTGAGCCACTATAATGGTTCTGGAGTTGTTCGGAGCGCTCCGAACTCCGGACACCTCAATCGAACAAATCTAATATACCCTATATGACAGACACTACACAAACGCTGATGGGCTTTTATAGTTTTTCAAAAACAAAAATTGTGACGGTCTGCGTGTGAGTTCATGCTTGTAATTAAATTTAAGAAGAAACGATTCAAACGATTAATCGTTACACTACCTACTTATACTGTAAGTATATACACACGGCAGTTCAAGAAAAATTTTTTATCTCCCTTCACCAGCTTTTTTTACTTTTCGTCATCCTGGTGTGCGTAGGATTAGATATAGGTTCGCATTCCCGTTAGAACATTTAGAACGTTACTTTAACCGACTTTAAACTTAAACTAATCAAAGTGGACGCCATTCGTCTCTCGATCGTCGTCATCGTGGAATGAGTTGGACGACGACGACAAGACGAGGCAAGAGGAGGCGAAAAAAGCTCGAGCTTTTGAAAAGCTTCGTCACGAAAAACCAAGAACGGATAACAATATTGAATTCATCTCAATGAGTCGAGCAGCGGACGGTAATCGTGTGCGTATATCTCTTGCAAAAAAAAAAAAAAATCCGAGCTGCATGTTTAAATAAATCATCCATGCTTAGTATATATACACTGGTATATATAGTTATTGCATAATTTTGCATATATTTTACAGCATCAGGCGTCTTCGAAGCAGTCGGTGTGCTGACGACGACAACGGAGGTTATGCCGAGCAAACTCTGCCGTTGTTTTTGCATCACAGGAGCCGGATGGTTGTTTGAGATTCAATTTGAGTTTTGATGACTGAATCACACAACGAGAAGAGCGCGGCGTCGTTGACTCGACACTGCTCTTGTCCCCGAGATGATCGAGATCACCGCGAAATTGATGAACGGCTCGACTTTCTTCTCCAACGAAGTGATCGAGTGCATGGTCACTTTCAGCTGTCCGGCTGGATCTGCCAACTCGACGACTTTGGCCAGCAATGACGAAAGTCAAGCTAACAGGTTTCCAGTGTTTCTTTATTTTGTGTTCTTAAGAAAAAGATGGAGCTTTGTGTGTGCTGATTATTGCTGGTGTTCTTTTTTCCAGTGATCCATCTGAAAATCTTGCCTGGGCCAGTGTTCAGATACACTGTCAGTGTTCGATAAACGAGAAACTCATTGCTGGTGATAAAATTAAAAAAGATACCAAACCCGTTGCTGTTAATACTGGTACGTTTTATTAGTTGTTTATTTATTTTTCACATGCTCAATCGTTTGACTGTAATTTCTTTGCGTCATTTATGCAGATACTACGTTTGCACCATCGTCAAGTGACAATGGACACGCAGTGTTGAACAGTAAGCCTAAAATCTTATTTTGTGATTTAAAGTTGTCACCAGGAGAGAGTAAATCTTGTGAGTATAAAATTTTTGTGATCCTTTTGTATCTTAGAGCTGTGTTATTGTATGAACTCTACTTTTATTTCTTAGTTGTATATAAAGAAACCATTCCAAGTGATTCACCTCCCTCGTACAGAGGACAGGCTGTTAAGTATTCTTATAAAATAACTATAGGAGCTCAGCGCGTCAATTCACCAATCAAATTGTTAAGGATACCATTCAGAGTGTTGTCTTTAAAAGGTATCTTGTGTTGATTTTTTTCTTTTTCCTGACAACGATTAATCCAAGCTTATTTCATGGTCTGATCTAAATGTGTTTTTTCCAGAGTTGCCTGATCTTGCTGCCTGCAATGATAGCTTAGAACCGAGTTCCAATGGCCCTTTTTCAGAAACGCAAAAGGAGTCACCGGTTGAACTTGTGATGCAAACACTTCAAGTAAGTTTAATGTACTTTTTTTTTTTCTTTTTGTTCGAAATGAATAAATCAAAGCAAGCAACTTATCGTTACAATAATTGCAGAACATAACAGCAAGACGTAGTCCTAATTATTACAATATAACAAACGGTCGTGGTAGAGTTGTGAGATTTTGCCTTTTCAAACATTCCTACAAACTTGGAGAAGACATCGTCGGAACGTTCGACTTTTCAAACGCGACTGTCTCGTGCACCCAGGTGTCGGTAACTCTGCAGTCTGAGGAACACATAGCCGAAGATTACAAAAGAGGAAAGTCCGCCACAACCCTGAACAGCTACAACAAGCATTACATAGTCACCAGTTATCTGTGCACCGAACTGATGCTGCCAATACCTTTTCACATAACACCTGACTTTAGCACCGAGCTGGTCACTCTGAAATGGCGATTGCACTTTGAGTTCGTCACGGCGGTGAAACCCATCGAGTTTCCAAATGCCGAGTCGACTTACTGGCAAGCACCGTCGACCGTCGATGTCGAGACCATGGTCTGGGACTTACCTGTACATATATATCCAACTACGATCCCTCCAAACATCACTCCGTTAGTTCAGAATAGCATAGTTGTTTAATACATGATAAATTGTTATATTTTGCTATACTTGTACATACAATTTTAAACGCAATAACTTAACGACTTTAATGAAAGAAAAGGAAGAGAGAGAGAGAGATCTAATAGCAATATTAATTATATTTTTATAAGCAAGAACTTGTTGGAGATGATTTTATAGGAGCGAGTAATGTTTGAGTACACGGTTTGTAAAAGTTCTTTCGATATCTATAGAGAATTGTTGATCACGAGGAAAAGCCTACAGTTTGTACATAGTGTTGGTATGGAAGATAATGTGCAATGTAGAGATCATTGTCACTTTGATAAAGCAAAAATTGTAACGACGCTTGATACTCGATACTTGAGCGCGAGAACGTTTTGAAAATGTTTGAAAATAACTTTTGAGTATTTTTTACATGCTAATAAAAGTTAACATATTTTAAGAAATACGTACTCTTGCACTGACGTATCTTATTTTTTACTAACATCGACAAGACAAAAATATATATGTATTTCTAACATTCATTTTCGAAACTGATTGAGTTGAACAATCGTATTTATAATTTCATCCAAAAAGTTTGTTTTTATTAAAAAAAAAAAAAAAGTTTTTTCAATTTCTCCATTAAAAAGAATGTATTTAATTCTGTCGTAAGTGGCTCAAAAATTTGCGAAAGCTCATTTTTAGCGATTTTTGTCGCTCCTCATGGAACAATTTTTTTTTTCAATGTTTCATGTGAAACAAAGTTTTATCTAATATTACAGGTAATTTACTTTTAATATATGATGTGGCCTCACTGAAAGCTACCTTGCTAGAATCACGATTCGATAATTTAAATAAAAGGTATGGTTTCTTTACGTTTTTCTTTAGAATGTTACAATCCACGTCAATTTTTTCATTATGCAATCTGTTTTTGGATTTCAACTGATCATAAATTTTTTGAGTTATCAATGTTTCCTTTTCGAGTAGAGACAGAGATGGATCGATGCTTACTGTACCACCCTTTCGATCCCTCCACAGACAAGAATCTCCAGTACAGCGCAAAATCACTTTACTCTGATCATTTGTGTGCACATCGGACTCTGATTCGACTTTCGGCTGCTTAAGCTCTTGCTTATCAATATACTGGACTTGAAGTTTGAGAACCCTTTCGAGGAATTTTTGTACTAAACTTATGACTAAATCACACCAATGTTCTTTTACAAATACATCTTTGTCTTTGATATCTGTGCGAGTATTGAAATCATCCGGAAGACCAACTTCCATGGTATTGTTGCAATAATAAACAAATGAAATCACTTGCGACTCTTTAGGTGTTTTCGGCACGGTGACGTTCAAATTAAAAAGGGATAGTAGAAACTTTTTGTAATTGTTGGTAGCTTCGGCCTGGCACGCAGCTGCAGCCAATTTACAGTAATTTTGAAAGATCTCGAGGTACTTTTCACTGATGCTTTCTGTGACGTTGTGGTTCAATTCGTTTGGATCTTGTACGCACATGGGCTTCGTCAGAGGGAAAGTAAAGGCACTTTCTCGTATCTTCAAGTACTCTTTGTACAAGCGCATACTATCCGGCAACGTTTCCACAGAGTTGAGGATTATTTTTTTATGCGAAATACCGTCCACGGGACAAACGACGTTCAGCTTAAAGTTGTAGTTGGCATAGAAATCGAAAAATCCGCCGAGTAGTTGCGCAATGTTCGTGTCTGAAGTATTCTTCAGCCGTACACTGCTGTTGAAATTGACCTGCCATCCTTCCACAATTTTAGCCGGGATCGATTTTTTTAAATCGAAAACAGTAGGCATGAAATTTACCGCCGGCTGCTGACAGTAGAAAATGAAAAGCAAGGTCAGTGCATATTTCGATAGCCTACTTCCTCCTCGCAGTTCAATTATGCCGACCCAATATTTCAGGATCATCATAGCAGCTGGTAATCGTTCGTCCATCGATAGTAGGTGCTTAATCAGTTTACTGTTGTGCACGGCTAGACTATTCTTGATGGACAAATCGCACGAAATGCTTGTCGGTACAAAAGTGAACTTGATGATCGGTGTTTTCGCTTTGGGGATAGGTACGATTTTTGAAAATAATTTTGGTTTTGCGTAGAGTATGCGCTTAATCTCTGCAAATACAGAAGCTGATGATTTGACTCCCGGTGGGGGATCCAGGTCGTTTGTGAAAGGGATACCTAAACAAATATTAAAATTACAATAAAAAAACGCAATAAAATATTAATCAAGTCATAAGACGAGTATTACCAGGGTCCATGTAGATATCTAAGTCGCAGTTTTTGAAACCCAAGCCGGACACAGTCGAACCGAACCTTGACGTTGTACAGCGAGGGAAAAAAATCTCAAAAGTTTCCTGCAGGTTTTGACACGTTGATTTATAACGCGTTTGAATTTCTTTTGAGTCAATGGAAACGGCCTCCAAGAACTTTTTAAGCTGCTCCTCAAAAGAAGTATCCTCTTCGAAAATAGGTTTGATATTTTTGTAATCCAACTCGTCCGTGTCATTGATGCGCTCTGTTTTTTTCTCTCCTTTTTTTGGCTTGGCCACTGTAAATAATTCAAGGTGCCGTTAGTTTGACAGTACATCACATGCTGTTGTGTATAAATATTCCACGTACATAAATCATTTGGTTTTACTACTCTTTGAACAATGTTTAACTTTATATTGTCAAAGTATGTAGGCCTTGAAAGAAAGTATTCGGCTGGTTCTCTGTAAAAAATATCACTTGGTTATTAAAAAGTAAAAAAAATTTTTTTTTTTTCACAATCCTCTTAATTTTTGTTAATAATACCTAGTGGCAAATTCAATAATACAATGTCTTGGACCAAACTTGTAGTACTTAATGTGCCCATATTGAGCAAAAAACGAAAGAAATGAGTCTCTGTATTGATCTTTGGACAGGTAAGGTGGAAGACCAGCAATAAATATTGATTTTTGGATCATTGATCGTTGTTGTTCTATTTGTTCAACCATTTTTGCATGTCTTTTGCCTGAAATGTGCCCTTGATATGCAGCATCATCTGGACACTCAATTTGGCAAGCTGTACATGTTTTCTTCATATTGGTCTTACTGATTCGGAGTAATTCAATATACTCTGTAAAAAAATAGTTTGCACCAATTAAACATAAAAAATTGTGCTGCAACTGGAAGATACGAATGATTCAAATAATTTACCTAAATATTAAGTTTTCTATTTTTGTAAATTTACAATTCCTGACCGCTTGCCGTCACTACTCTCAGAAAATATTTAGGTTCAATGTAACCATCGGAGTTTCCAGGAGATAAAATAACGTTGTTGTCCGATTCAAAAAATTCTATTTCGTCATCTCTTGCTTTTTGAAAATCTATGTAAATAAAGATTTGGGCGTTTCTTCTGAGTCCGCTAATAAAATTCAGTCCTTTGGCAAAGTGTATGTGATTCCTTTTCATGCGAGACAACCCTTGGTTCTTGATTCTTGGATAGCAGTCAAAATAAGTTCCATGTATAATGTCAAAGTCAGATCTGGTCAAAAGTTTCAAGTTCAGCGCATTAACTTGTGCTATCGTGTGACCCTGGTTGGCTCGAATCATCAACACATTGTTGAAGTTTTTTATCGTAAAACGTTGCTTGTCGTTGTTCTTGACAATTCGCTTAATATCATCCAGAGTACATCCAGTAGGGACGTGTTTCAAAATGTCTTCAACACTCACAAAACCGTCAGGTCTAATTGTTATATTTGATTTTACAGCTCCATGGCGTAACAAGTAACTCAAGCTCTTACTGATTTTCCTGTCATAATTTTCATCTGCTTTATTCTATGAAATGTAAAATGAACTTTTGTTTCTGAGCACTCATAAGATATGTATATATATATACATGTGGACATGCATGTATAAAAAAGTTAACCTATAAATACCAAAAAAATAGTAGACAGTGGAACTACATACCATCAGTGATCTCTACTTATGATATTTTAACGACAAGTGAAAACAACAGACGTGTAATTATAATTACTTATGATCGAAGCAATAATAAAAAAAAAAACATTAATGTACCACTATACAGTGTATTTATACACAAGCAGACACAAGTATACCCAAGTATACCACAAAACCCACTTTGCATGAAGTCCGGCTTGGGCCTTCGGGTTCGGATTGTGCATGGCATGGACACTGCGTGGACTGCGGAGCTGGGGTACATATGAGGCAAAAAATTAATACCCGCCGCCAATCTCTCATACGTTAAAATCCTTTGTGATTTGTAGACTGAAGAATTTTTGCCCTGTAGTATTACCATGATGAGTCACATGGGTATAAATGAATTTCCAGAGGCACAAAGTTTAAACCGACGCCAACCGAGCCCAATGAATGGAAACAGAGTTAAAGACGTTACAGAGAAGTACCATTGGTGGCAGAGTTGGAACTTATCGACGACCCGAAAATGAACAAAAGGGCTTTTGAAAAATTTGTCCATATATGTCGTTCATGGCCATTTTTCCAAATGGCTTCTTTCCATTTTTATCAAAATTTTCGACCGATCCATATGAAATTTAGTATGTATACTGAGGGTTATCAAACACATATTCTACCAACGTCAATATCCATTCCATTCCAAGTCTTAATATTTGATAGAACACAAGTTATAGATTTTCGAAAAAATGGTCAAAAAACGCGATTTTTTGCAGCTTAGCCAAAAACTATTGTGATAATCTGGGCTCAACAAAACTCATTCGATAAGTCTTGTCGTTGCGCACTTTTAACTATTACACTACACTTTTTTTTCAAATGCTTAGTTTTTCCGTTAACCGCATAAAACCGTTTTTTACGTTTTTCAAGATTTCTCATAAAATGGCATGTATGGGTGATTCTGTCGTAAGTGGCTCAAAAATTTGCGAAAGCTCATTTTTAGCGATTTTTGTCGCTCCTCATGGAACAATTTTTTTTTTCAATCGATAGGGTTTAATCCCAGATTTTATTTCATCTGAGTTAGAACACTTTAACTACACGCATCAGAAGCAGAAGTATTTTTTTCGAAAATTGACTAAAATTGACTTAAACAAAATACCGTACGTCTTTTTACTCAAAAACTTTGTACTTATATAGTATGGAATCGTTTTGGATTTTGTTGTGGATGGTATTTGAGGTACAACTACTATGAAAAATAATTTTTTCAATCCCCATTTTTTTAACGATTCTTCAAGGCATTTTGAGCCACTTACGGCAGAATCACCCATACATGTCATTCTATAAAAAATGTTAAAAAACGTGAAAAACGATTTTTTGTAGTTAACGGAAAAAAATTGTGTAGTATAGTTGAAAGTGCGCAATGAAAAGACCAATCAATTGAGTATTGTTGAGCTCCGATCGGTCCATTGATTTTTAAGTAAGTTGCAAAAAATCGCGTTTTTTTTTACCATTTTTTCGAAAATCTATATAACTTGCGTTCTATCAAATATTAACATTTGAAATGTGATAGATATATTGATGTTGATAGAGTATGTGTTTTATAATCCTCAATACTTATACTAAATTTCATAAAGGTCGATAGCAAACTTTTGGAGAAACTTTAAAAAAACTGATAAAAGGCCCTTTCGGGAAAATGGCCACGAATGACGTGTAGACTCTTACCAACTTTTTTTTAAACGATTCTTTAACGAATTTTGAGCCACTATAATGGTTCTGGAGTTGTTCGGAGCGCTCCGAACTCCGGACACCTCAATCGAACAAATCTAATATACCCTATATGACAGACACTACACAAACGCTGATGGGCTTTTATAGTTTTTCAAAAACAAAAATTGTGACGGTCTGCGTGTGAGTTCATGCTTGTAATTAAATTTAAGAAGAAACGATTCAAACGATTAATCGTTACACTACCTACTTATACTGTAAGTATATACACACGGCAGTTCAAGAAAAATTTTTTATCTCCCTTCACCAGCTTTTTTTACTTTTCGTCATCCTGGTGTGCGTAGGATTAGATATAGGTTCGCATTCCCGTTAGAACATTTAGAACGTTACTTTAACCGACTTTAAACTTAAACTAATCAAAGTGGACGCCATTCGTCTCTCGATCGTCGTCATCGTGGAATGAGTTGGACGACGACGACAAGACGAGGCAAGAGGAGGCGAAAAAAGCTCGAGCTTTTGAAAAGCTTCGTCACGAAAAACCAAGAACGGATAACAATATTGAATTCATCTCAATGAGTCGAGCAGCGGACGGTAATCGTGTGCGTATATCTCTTGCAAAAAAAAAAAAAAATCCGAGCTGCATGTTTAAATAAATCATCCATGCTTAGTATATATACACTGGTATATATAGTTATTGCATAATTTTGCATATATTTTACAGCATCAGGCGTCTTCGAAGCAGTCGGTGTGCTGACGACGACAACGGAGGTTATGCCGAGCAAACTCTGCCGTTGTTTTTGCATCACAGGAGCCGGATGGTTGTTTGAGATTCAATTTGAGTTTTGATGACTGAATCACACAACGAGAAGAGCGCGGCGTCGTTGACTCGACACTGCTCTTGTCCCCGAGATGATCGAGATCACCGCGAAATTGATGAACGGCTCGACTTTCTTCTCCAACGAAGTGATCGAGTGCATGGTCACTTTCAGCTGTCCGGCTGGATCTGCCAACTCGACGACTTTGGCCAGCAATGACGAAAGTCAAGCTAACAGGTTTCCAGTGTTTCTTTATTTTGTGTTCTTAAGAAAAAGATGGAGCTTTGTGTGTGCTGATTATTGCTGGTGTTCTTTTTTCCAGTGATCCATCTGAAAATCTTGCCTGGGCCAGTGTTCAGATACACTGTCAGTGTTCGATAAACGAGAAACTCATTGCTGGTGATAAAATTAAAAAAGATACCAAACCCGTTGCTGTTAATACTGGTACGTTTTATTAGTTGTTTATTTATTTTTCACATGCTCAATCGTTTGACTGTAATTTCTTTGCGTCATTTATGCAGATACTACGTTTGCACCATCGTCAAGTGACAATGGACACGCAGTGTTGAACAGTAAGCCTAAAATCTTATTTTGTGATTTAAAGTTGTCACCAGGAGAGAGTAAATCTTGTGAGTATAAAATTTTTGTGATCCTTTTGTATCTTAGAGCTGTGTTATTGTATGAACTCTACTTTTATTTCTTAGTTGTATATAAAGAAACCATTCCAAGTGATTCACCTCCCTCGTACAGAGGACAGGCTGTTAAGTATTCTTATAAAATAACTATAGGAGCTCAGCGCGTCAATTCACCAATCAAATTGTTAAGGATACCATTCAGAGTGTTGTCTTTAAAAGGNAGCGAAAATGTTTTTTTTACCGTCAACCTTCTGGACATGCATTTTCTTTTTTTCCGGCTTTACCCATCAATTATGTACATCTATGTACATCTGCCGATCGTTTAAACTAATTTGAAAATCTCGCGAATGCACCATACAATTTTATAGGCATGATAAGTGGCATACAAACATACTTGGGCACAATTATTTCATTGAATTGTACACAAATTCTTTTTCCCGGATATATGACACATTACTTTCTAGCAAAAAATTACAGTACAAAAAATTTTTATAAAGCATCCATGCCCAAGTCCAAATACAAGGGTCAAAGTACCGGTCGGTGGGACACAATAAATGTCACGCAGGGATGACAATAAATACCGATTACTTACATTTTCGAATCGTACGAAACAATAATAAAAGTATACGTACGTCTGGTATGCATGACCTCGAGTTAGGCATAGATTTAGGAATGAAACGACCTCAAATGTGTTTCTTTACAGTCGCACTCATACTTATAATACCGAACGATTAAACGCACATTTCACTTTGCTATCGTCACAATTATATTTATTTACATAAGTAAAAAATCAAGCCCTTTGCCTTCCAAGCATTCGTATCTTTATATAAATAGTGCAATATTTTATCTAAAAATGTTCGAAAAAAATTTAAATCTAAAATTTTATGCCGTTACTGGTACTCCCGTCTTATTTTTTTGTGTACGTATAGCGATTGGAGTCTAGAGTGTACTTACCTACCTCCACCGTGTGGCGGGCAGTTTTTATCGATTATAAAATTGCCAGTCTTTACAGCACCGCGCGAGGAATACAAATGCATTTGGTCCGTATATACATTACGCTCGGGGGGTTTTTTTTTTTCTTCCCAACGCTACACTCACACTTTAGTTGTTACCACGTTCTGAGTGAAGCGCGCGTTAGTGAGGAAAATATATCGATTTCCATGAAAAATTGATATAGATGTTATAGGTATACCGTGGCTTTTCATTCAATCTTGTTGTGTTTTTTTTTTTTGAAGGAGTACGTAGAGTTTAATTTATTATCGAGTGGATCAATTGAAATGCGAGGAAGAAGTTGTCTGCGCGAGTCTTGCTCCCTGAATTTCTGATTCGATCGCCGTGACTACCTAAGTATACGAAATCAAAAAGCGAAACACTCGACTCGTCGGAAATAATGTTAATGATATGGTACACGTTCGATTAACATTATTTATAAGTAATACAGACGCAGGGTTTGATAAATCAATCATCCGGATCAGTACGAATGTTAATTTTCACGCTATCAATGTGAAATCAAACAACAAGCCGGCGTGGTCTCCCCCTCCTCCTCCACCTCGTCACGAGACTTTTGCGCAACTCAACAACATACATTACAATATCTGCTATACGAATACACGCATCCCTCTGTTTTCCAGAAGCTGTTCCCCCCATGCGCGCAAATCGCAGGAGCACGTGCCTCTCTTGTGTGTCCCTCTATACAATAATAATAATAATAATAATAATAATAATAATAATAATAATAATAATAATGCATTAACACTCGTAACTTTAGATTATAGAGATGATCAACAAGTGAGCGCGCGTGTGCGTTCTTGAACTACAGGCCAATCTTGCCGACCCTATTGGTTCACCGCATACAACAGGTCCACGCTTCGCTTTTTCGATTCGCGGCCAAACGTAAACTGGACACCCGTACGGAGAGGCTGGACTACTGTTTGTGATGACCGAAGCAACACGGAGAAGAGAAAGAGAAAAAAAAAAGAAAGGAAGAAAGAACAATGTATTGATCAACAATCAACGGGGGAAAAAAAAAAACAGCTAAAGCGCGTGAACCTAGTCTCAAGGTCGGGGCTCGTACATGTAGCCGGGCTGGGGCTGCTCGGCGAGCTCCCGTTCGCGGCCTAGCAGGGCCGGCCTCGGGGGTGGTGCCAGCGTTCCCGGACTCAGAGACGGCAGAGCGAATGGTGCGTGGTAGTCGTACCGGTAGTACGCGTAGGCGTCCCACCTGGAGGGGCCGCGCTGCACGTGATCCGTGGGGTAGGGAGCTGGACGTGGGCCGTAGTAGGTGGGCGCGGATGCCGTTGGAGCCGCACATGGCGATGTTGGTGGTGGTAGCGTCGACGATGGTGGAAGCGGTGCCGGATTCGATGCCAGTTGTTGCTGGTGCTGCTGTTGCTGCTGGTGGTGATGGTCCGTGGGAGCGACGGGCTGGTAGGGGTGGTGGTACTGTGGCTGTAAGAGGCTCTGCAGGTGGCGGATGTACGTGATGGCGTGACGCAGGGACTCGATCTTTGAGAGCTTCTTGCCCGGGGGCTTGCAGGTGGGCAGCTTCGAGCGCAAAAGCTCGAAGGCTCGGTTCATATCGCGCATGCGGGTGCGCTCTCGATCGCAGGCCGATTTTTTGTAATCTGCGGGACAGAGAAGAAATACATACACGTGTTAATTTTCGATGTTTATTTTTGAGAATAATATACATGTTACACAGGTTTACATATTTGCTGGTATGTGTCATTAGTTGTTGGAAGCATATATTTTCTGAAATTATAATACAAAGTGACATTTGAAGGTAAATATTTGCACTATTATTATATGGATTTTTTAAAAGAAATTTTTTCTTCTTAAATAAAGTGTATTTTTTTTGCCGAAATAATTTTCCATTTGCCACTGTTTACAGTACATTAGGAAGTTTTTTTTCGGATAAGTGCAATAAACTCTATGAATTCAAATTCATAATTCATGGTACATATAATAAAAACAAGCATTAAAATACGTTTTCAAGTAATTTGATTCCTATTTTGCTGAATTGATTTTTTTCTTTTATTTAATGCATTGTTCATGTTGAACTGTTCTAAATATAGTAATTGAAAACAATTCTTTTTTAGCATATATTTGTGGCTTCCCGGAAAAACCGATTAACACCATTTTTGTGATTTTTGAGAAAAACGGCTTTAAAGATTGAAATGCTACTTTTTCACAGCGCGGAAATTGTGCGTTTTTTGATGTGCCTAACGTTAGGTACTGATACAAGACGTAATTATTAGAGGGGTGATAAAAAATGGACTTCCTTGCTACGAGTTGATTTTGGAGTTATTCGGTAAGGCTGGGAACATAAAACTTGTTCAATTATTCAAATTTGTGAATATTCAACAAAAGGACGTATTTAATCACGAGTATCTATGTCATGCCTGCTTACTAATTATTTATTATCGAGTACTAGATTCTTATTACTCAAACATAGGACTGTAGTTACCAAAACGATGATCCCTACGAAAAGTAATACGATTCGTTTTTCCGCGTTTAAAGTGACATTGAAAATTTTGTATCTGGTTACTTTTCGTCGAAAATAAGGCTTGGACTGCAATTTCAGGGGTTTCAACTAATCTGGAGCGCTAATCACCAAAGTAAATTCACGTCAGGTGATAAATATTTTGGTCCCTGCGAGAAGAGTAGGCTTTTCTACGGCATAGTTCCGACATTAGTGCCTTTCTACGGCATAGTTCCGATATTAGTGCCCATATATCAAAATTTCATATTATACGTGGCTATTGCGCTATTGGAGTACAATAATCCATTTCCCATATCCTTATAACATATTGCAGTGAAAATTTGACGTCTCGCTACTAGTTTCTCTCTCACTTTTGTAAAAGCCACATTTTTACATCAGTTTTATTCTAAAAAGATGAAAATTACTAAATACAGTATTCTTCCATGATTTTCGTGGCTCAAAATCATCAATTCGCGCTGCAACAACGATCTTTTTCCTTCACTTTATCGGTTGGGCCAGGAAAATGGCATAGTTAATCGCTTAAGTCTTGTGCTGATTACGGAAAATTGGTAACTCGAATCCTTCCAAAAAATTGTTTGGATTTTTACATTTTTTTTTGTACACACACACACACACACACACGAAAAGTCAACATTTTTTATTACAATTCCATGTAAAATACTTGAATCTCCCAGAGTTATTGTTGCCATCCGTGAGACTGAGACTTGCAGGTTTTCTAATGTTTAATCTTGTGCCGTTATAATAATAGACCTGAGAAAAATAAAGTATTTAACGTTATTGTATTATGCATGGTTTTCCAAGTGCAAAAACCGACAAACATGTTTTTCATCACTTTTTATTGGACACTTTCAATTGGGCGTGCACTCCGAAGAGGAACTTGATAATGCTTTGGCGTATATGCCTAAAATAGCATAAGTATCAGTATATCTATATAACCGATAACAGACGCGTTAATCGGGCATATAGATGTACTTGGCAATTTTATTGTTTTTTAAAAAATAAGAGCTTAGTGGCCAAGTGGTGAAGTGTATATGAAGGCGAATGGGGTTCGCAAGCCGTCTGGAGTATCAAAAATATTTTTTTGTATTTCTCGTAAATTATATACAAAAAGGACTTACTACGCGGTCGAGTACCAAATAAATATGGTAATCTTTAAAGATACGCCATCATATTTAGAATTGGGCACAATTGTTTTCTTTGATTTTTTGAATACTTAAAATAAAATTATATTTTTCCGAATGAAGTTTTNTTTTTATTAATAAAACCAACAGTAAAGTTCATTTAAAAAGTTTGGGTAACTTTGAAAACGAATTTTTGGCACAGAAAAAAAGCTTAAGAACTTGAAATGGTTCCAATTAAAATTTTTTAAAACAGCATCAGCTCGTTTAAAAAACTTTAAATGTTGAAACACAGAATTATGATCGAAATATTGCGAATTCAATAGCTATTTGTTCGGTAATATCCAACAGAGTATAACTTTTTGTTTTATACTGTTTGATTACATACGGTTATAATATCGCAGTTTCTTTTCTAGAAATATAATAAATTAAACATAACTTAGGATCTAATTTTAGTGTTTATGTACAATAGTAACTAATCAAGTTACTTGTTGGAATATCAATTGTTCAATTGTAACGCTACACAAAGTGCGCCATGATAACACGACAAACTTTTCCTCAAATGATAACGCTACCGGATCATTACAAAATAATAAAAAAAAAAGCAATAACCACGAAAAATCGAGTACAAAATATACTGGGCAAAAATATCTACAAAAAAAGTTGTTTTAACAAATGAAATTTCAAATGTGCCGGTGTTTGATTGACGAGTTATTAGACTTTGGCAAAGAGAAAACTTGTTTGCAGAAGTATCATCTGTGGTAAAAAAATAAAGTGGCCGCCCACAACAGTCGCTGCCAAATCCATCTCGGTACGCGACACGGGCTCAAACTCGCGACCGAGCCGGCAAAGTGCCTCATCCAGTCCCAGAGACCCCGCGGCGCGTGTCCTCCGTTGACGTAAAGCACATAGGTAAAGCCGTCTTTGCACTTGCCCTTTATGTAGTAATAATAGGGTAGGAAGCTGTGGAGACGAAAGTTACACCTGTGGTAGAAGCGAATCGCCGGCTTGTTGCTCGACAGAACGTGTAGAAAGACCGCCTTAACCGTCGAGCGTTCGGGGGCAGTGACGTGGGCCAACAGCTGCTCCAAGAGAAGAGACGCTATGCCGTTGCGCCGGTAGGCTCTTCTGACTCCGAGACTAAGAATGTAGCCGACTAGGGAATCCATGCCAAAGCTAGAACAGAGTATGCCTCGGTCCTCCTTGTTTAACTTGGCGTAGGGTTTGATTTCTGCTACTATCAGTCCTATGATCACTCCTCCGTAAACAGCAGCGAGCGCGTAAAAGCGCGACGAGCTCGTTATGTCTTCGTACCACGCATAAGGGTAGTCTGCAAAGTAAAATTATCATCAGGGTTCATGCCAAGTAACGAATTCACACAAAAATTGATTTATTTCCTTCCTCTCTACTTTCACATAAATTGATAATTTGAAACACCTGTGATTCCTCAACAATATAAATTCAAACCTATTAGAAGCGTGGGAGATTATCATGCACTTAATTAGATAAAAAGCAACAGATAATGTGCGCGTATACAGATGGATATTTATCTATCCATGTCACTCTACTTTGACAAATGTAACAGGTGTATGAATATTTCATGTGATTATCCAACAAAACAGCTATTCCAGACAATCTCTATCTAATGATGACGGCATAGGCAGTTGGAATATATTTGGTAAGTCTTAATCAAGTTGGAAAAAAAAAAAAAAAAAAAAACTTTTCAATAGAAAACAACAATGGGCTTTGGAGCTCTGCAATCTCCCTTGTTTGACAAAAGACCAAAGTTTTAATCCACGCACGGCAAAAGGTGGAAAACACAGAAAGCACGGCAGCACATCCAAAATCATCTCACCAATCGGGAACCAGACTTGACAGAGCGAGCGCACCTCCTCGAGATCATCAGGACAGAGAAACCTCAGCTGCACGTCACCAAGGACGCAGAGGGGCACAGTCGCGGGTGCGCCTCGTCCAGCGCTCGGACACTCCGTCTCGAGCTCATCCTCTTCCTCGTCGTCACCGTAGCGGCTGTGAGCGTAGCCAACCGGGCGTCCCTCCTCGTCGTCGTCGTTACTGCCGTACACGGAGGCATCTACGTTGCAGAACTCGCACTTTTCGTTGTTCACGGGAGCAATGGGCTCGTTGCAGCTGCTGCTGGCTCTTTTCAGCCAGGCCGGCTCGTAGTGATAGCGCTCAAACGAGACCGCGCTCATCGCTGCTCGAGTATGCAGGGCCAGCTCTTGGCATGTTTGATTTACTTCTTAAAAACTCGATAAGCAATCAACTTATGTGTGACAAACTGCAGCAGCAAGACAGCACAGTATAGTTGTTGTTGTTGTCGTCGTCGTCGTCCTCGCGAAGAAGCCCAGAGGTGTGTCACGTCGTGAGTTCTCAGAGACCCACCGAGATTTTAGTAATAATGCCACGTTGTCAATTCGGAGTTTCGTTACTACGTGCCATTATTACAGTTATAATCGATTAATTTGCTGCAGTTGTACATATGGCCTTTGTTTTGCTTTGCGATTGTTGTTGTTGTTATTCTTAATTTGCGCGTCTCTTCCTTGTTTTCGTCTGCTCCTCTGTCTTCTCTCTCTCTCTCTCTCTCTCTATATATATGAGTGTGCATGTGCGCGTGTGTTGGTGTGTCGTCTGCTTCACTACCCCCCTCACGCCGTTCTCCCCTTTGACTGGGCGCACAAAAAAATTTAAAATACGTCGGTCGAAAAAAAATTTCCATTAAGTACTATTATAGCCTTAGCATTAAAGCTATAAGTTGGAAAGTCTTAATATTCATATATTTTAATGGTTTATCATCAGTTTTTGNTTACGAACCTCGTTACGTCCCTCGCCTTCGGCTCGGGCCGCAAACCTCTCGGTTCGCAAACAGAGACTTTTCAAACTCGTAGGAAAACTACCATTTTATTCTAAAATTAAATTCTTTGACTGAAAAAAAATTTGGTTTAGCAGCGTGTTGCAAGCAGCAATTAAAAAAAATTTTTTTTTCTTGAGTAATACATCACATTTTTAGAAAAAAATAACGAATAAAAAAATTAAAAAAGTTATATTTACATTGATGTGCCACCCAAGGGGATATGGTTATTATTTTAGCTTAGAGCAGTTAGTTGAAGGCTATTTATTAGATTTAATTGTAAATAGAACAAAAACGAGTTAAAATCCTATATCAATAGTCGATAAAATCATGGTTATTGCATTTAAATTGTCATTAAAATTTACTTATAATTAACGTTTTTAATTTTGGACCTGAGGCCTAATTCTTTAAGTAAATAAGTGTTATTATTATTGTGTTACGACAAATGTGATTTCAACGTATGTTTTGGTCATTTCTTGCCATCACAAATAATCTTTCGTTTATCTCTACGAATGATAAAAACCTGTGCCTTTTCAATTTTTTGCTTTCTTATAATAATAAAACAGACAGTAGGTACTGCCAGTACCAAGTGAAAAAAAAAAAAAAAAAAAAAAATTCCTTTGAGCGGAAGAAGCACAGCTTTTAGCGGTACGTTTAGAGGATCAGGCACCTGATGGAAATTTTTAACGTCAAAAAGCTGACATTTAAGCTTGTCCAAAGAGCTTTTGATTTTTTTTTTCAACAAATGTCTTGTTGCTTTATTCAGAGCTAGATTTCAAATATAACAGCGCAGTACCCTCTTTTCGGAAATCAGGTGATTAATTATGTAATTTCTCATGCCAAAATCTCATCTGTCCAGGTTTTAAGTTTTTCAAGTGTTTTTTAGTATTTCTCATTATTTGATGCGTATTTTAAAAAATTTTTAACTTGAAATTTTTTTTCATATGGATTTTTTAAAAGAAATTTTTTCTTCTTAAATAAAGTGTATTTTTTTTGCCGAAATAATTTTCCATTTGCCACTGTTTACAGTACATTAGGAAGNAGCGCAGTACCCTCTTTTCGGAAATCAGGTGATTAATTATGTAATTTCTCATGCCAAAATCTCATCTGTCCAGATTTTAAATTTTTCATGTGTTTTTAGTATTTCTCATTATTTGATGCGTATTTTAAAAAATTTTTAACTTGAAATTTTTTTTCAGAAAACTGTAAAAAAATCTAAGTTAAAAAAAAAGTCTCTAATTGACTTAGAGAAGTAAAAAAAAGGTTTAGAAAAGAAAAAAAATTACATGATACTTTGGCATGATTAATCACCTGGTTTCCGAAAGGAGAGGGTTCAGAACCATCGTTTCAAAAAAGAGACAAACTTTGTGATTTTCTTGTTCAATTTTTTCGAGACTTCGACACACTGAGAGAACCAAATAATAAAAATTACTAATATTAGAACAGTAATTTAGTATTATTATTCTTATTATAAGAAACTTTTGAAAAACTGAATAAAGACCTTTTGGAAAAATGGCAAAGACTCTGAAGAACGATGGTATTAGATGCCTCATGTAATGTACGTCTTACAATTTTTCAAAGACTTTCGCGTAAGTTTGCGTTTTGCCATAATATTTTATCACTTTTGCGTGATTCTGAAAATATTCGTTTAGTGGTTGGATTGGTGAAAAAATCTAACTTGATATACTAATTGAACGCGCATAACTGTATTACAGTGTGAGACAGTACTTTTAATAAAAATGTTTAAATGGTTTTTACATTTATGAAATTAATTGTTTGTTGTTTTTCCCCTGGTTTATAAAAATATTATTTTATGAATAGTAATATGAATATAAATGCGCGCGGGTACGTATTCTTACAATGAAAATTAATCGACTTTTAACCTCTTGTAAATAGCCGAAGTCGCCAAGTATATATCCAGTCGAGGCGAGGGCGAGGGCCCCAACGTGTCGTTTTGCTAAAACTGAATGAACATCTAAATTTTCAAGTGATAAGTATTTGCCAAATCGTAATATACAAGATGAAATTACTCCACGTCGGCTCGATGTAACAAACGAACGAATTATAATTAATTAAACTGAAAAGCCAACATGATATTAAAAATGCTGAGAAGTCGAAAAGGTTAGTTTTTTTTTTTTTTTTTTTTTTTTTTTTTTTTTATTTTGGGTTTTTTTTTTTTTTTTTTTTTTTCATTTTACATTAAATTAAAAAAAAAAGGAAAAGTTTAAAGCAGATGTAAAAAAAAAAAAATTTATGATTCATCGTCACACCCTCTCGACCCGTGCTCATAACATAAATTTTTAATTACCCCCCCCCCCCAAAAGGGACAAGATTAAACGACCTGTACTACTTTCGTCAGTCCGCACCGCACGCCCGTCGCAAAATGAACTGCCTCCGAGTGTTTCCCCGTGACAATTCGAGCTCCCCTTACGGAGTCGCGGATCCAGCCCAAGCTCGCCTCGACGCGAGCCAACCGTCCGTGGAGATGGCCATCGTGACCTACTCGAACTACCCGCAGCTCCAATCGGCCGCTCACCAGTTGCACCAGAGTCGCGTTACACAGGTCGAGGCCTCGGTTGCACCGATCGTTGACGAGAAACCCGAGATCTCGAAAAAGCCACCACTGGCCCAAAACAAACCCCAACAACAGCATTTACTAGTCAAAACCGCGGATTCTGTCCACCGACACCCGCAACCACAGCTGCTCTACAGAGCTGCACCGCCAATTTGTCGCAAGCCGCAGATGCACGAGAAAAAAATCATCACCAATAAGGACGAGTCTACATTGCCGCAGACGAAACTACGCGAGCGTAGTAGTACTACGAAGCAGCAGAGGGGGCGCTCTTGGTGGCGGGGGGGTCCGGTGGGCTTGGGGCGAGCGCTGGTCAGTCTGCTTTGTAGACTGTTTGGGGTGCGTCGCGAAGGCTGCTCCGACAGTTACAGGGCCGAAGTCGCCAAGGGGCTGCATCATAGGTGCGCCAAGACGTCGTTGTTCGACGACGAGAGGACCAAAGAGGCCGGGCCGAGGGACGACCGGGCTGTTTTGAGACAGGCCTACATGAACGGGCTGCTGAGGGCGAGGAATCACCTCGAGCCCGAGCAACAACAGCAGAAGGGAAACTGTTGCAAGCTGACGGCAAGAAGGCGAGCTCCCTGTAGACAGACGAGCAGTGCTATTACGTGTATATGAGGTGTTTTGAAAGGGGGGTCTTGGGGGGACTTGAGGGGGGCCACCACGCAAATACTGTTTTTTTTCTTCTTCCTACACACAAAGATAATAAAATGCAGATGCATAATGTGAGTGTCGTACGTATAAATCGAGCTGATTTTCACTGGTACATAATATAAACGTAAAATGCGAGTCTCGTGCGGTCGGAAAAAGCGCGTACTCGAAATACAAACCCTTCTCGGTCTGGGAAGGCTCGCGGTGGAGCGGCGGTGCAGGAGGTGGTGGCGTCGGACTCGGCTTCGCTCTACCGATCTCCAAGTGCTCTGGCAGCACTTCTAGCCGATTGGGCCGATGCTGATGATAACTTTGGTGGTGGTGGTGGTGATGATGATGGCTACGATGGTCCTGTGGTGGACCCAGTTCGCTGGGAACGCGGATAACCACCACTCCGTTCGAGCTTGTGGGTTGCGGCGAGCCTTGGGCCAAGGGTTGCTGTTGGTCGAACTGTGTCGTCACTGTGATGCCGTGCCATTGCTTGCCCGAACTCTGTCTCCGGGGGTTGAAGGAACTCTCGTCCGGTAGTTCTGTAACGGGGGTTACATATGTATCATTTATACTCGATAACGAGGCGGTTGCGTCTCTTTAGAGATAAGATGTTAGTAGAGAGTGACTCGTGTGATAAACAAAAAATTTTTACTCCCAAGCACTGGACTAACCATTTTCTACATGAATTTTGAGCCTTTCAATCATAATTTTTTTTTTTTTTTTTTTTTTCAACCCTCGAAAGATTCTCATTCAGTGAGCAAAAGCAGTACAGTCCAGACCACCGGATCCAAAAGTATTCTTTTGTTTACGGATCGGTATTACATCAACAGTGCGATGCGTCTTTGAAAGTCATTTATAAACTGAATCAATTAACCAACGAGCAATTTTTTTTTTTTTTTTTTCTATTACACATGGCTCAATCGGGGAGGGGCTACGCTTTTGAAAGACTCGGTAGATCCAACGCACTTTGAAAGACCTACCAAGATTTTCGTTTCCCCGTGTCTCGAAAGCGTATAGACGTGGAAAAACAAAAGGCATTCCAAAAAAATACGAACCTGGTGACTGCGAAATCGAACTGTTACACAGACTGACTGGCGAATGGTACTCTGACTCGGTGAGTTGAAGCCGTTGTTGTTGTTGTTGTTGTTGTTGTTGTTGTTGTTGCTGCTGTTTCGAATTTTCGTCCAGATCCAAGATCACAGGCGATTGTGGACACTGTTCCTCGGCACTCTCGTTCTCCGGCTGGACGGAGAAAAAAAAACCAGGAATGATTTTCAAAAACACACTTGGTCGTTGACGATTTCGTATACACGTGAGCTTGTACTCCCGATAAGAGTCGTATCCATCAGAGCGCGATCGAGTATCCGCCATTTTCTATTTTATTACTTGTGAGAGTAATATATGTACATACTAATCCAGTTGTTGCGTGGAAAAAGTTCATTGTTTGATACAACCAGGGCACTCGTCCTTTATCTACCCAACACAGTGTATAGGTATCAAAATGAAAAAAAAAAATTATCAATCAAAACGCACCGAGACCTGGTTTTTCATCCAAATTTCAACACCACGATTACTCATGTACGCACTTATTATTCTTATACGTAAGCACATCGTCGCGTCCCATCGATTTTTTATGCCCACCAAATTACTCGTACACCTACCGCGTCTCTCAAAACTACAACTTGGATCACCGGGTTTTTCCACACGAACCAATTATATATCGCGCGCGCTATTTCTCAATAGCAAAAAAAAAAAAAAAAATGTCAACAGCAAACAATCCATATGGGGCGCTCGGAAATCCTACCCCAAGGGAAACCCCCGGGTCCTTTGCCCGCGTTTATGTATTTACCTCGTTTTTGCTAACGAATCCATTATCGTGAACTTCGGGCATGTGCTCCATGCCTCTCCAAACGAACAGGAGAAGAAAAAAAAAACAAAAAAAAAAAAAAAAAAAAAAAAAACGATCAGCAAGCAGATGACGCGAGCCCAGGGATTGATCGTAAATCGTTCATCGATCGCGTTGTTCCTCGTGCACGCGGGATACACAAGTATCATACACCACTGGTAAGTGCTCCTTCTGGCGTACAGTTAAGAAAAAAAAAAAAAAAACGCTTCCACGCGCGCACTCCTCGGCCCGTCTCCTCAGACTAGGGAGGCTCGTTTGTCATCGCGAAGAAATGTAGATTAAAATGCACTCGATTATTAATGCTCGGTATTTTTTTTTTTTTTTTTTTTTTTTTTTCTTTTCTTCTCCCATCCGTTTGTGTTGTAAGTATTCAGGTGTTCAAACAAGAGGCGCCCGATGACGACGACGGCGACGCGGAGCTAACGCCCCCACGGGGCCATGTTTAGGTGTATCGAAAACTCCGAACCCCCCCCCCCCTTGCTCTAGTCATCGTCGTCGCGGGGGTATTAGCATAAGCACAAAAAGCACGTGCTGCTTTGTTCCCCGGCCCTCCCTCTCGGGTCTTCGGAAAAGGACGTTAGGCCATTATTTTCTTTTTTTTGTAATATGGAACGCACTCCGAGCGCACGTGTATGTGTATATGTGTGGTCGTTATGCAAAATTCGCACCCATATGTATGTGTATGCATAATACACGTCGATACTTATGTTGCATGTAAAATTTTTACGCGGTGCAAAATGTCGTTGTTGTCGTTGCTACGTGCTGCGTTTTTATATTTGGTGTGTTTGTTTTTTTTTGGAAATGTTAATACATGTCAGTTACATGAGGGTGAAAGTCATCGATTTATACTGTACGATTGAACGATAGTTTCGAAAATTTTCTCCGTTACATTTTCGAACAAGCAATGACACTCCAGTGCGGGAGACCTTTTTCGCACCGTTTCGGTGTCGGTAATAAGTACCTGTTCGAATGTTGAGCGACGAGATTCGATACTCGCATTGCATCATTTATGTCACAACTAACCGTATTGTTATACTTATGTGAGGTTTCATAAAACTTTATACGATCTTTTCGATTGAGATGGCGTTGATGTTGTTGGCTCACTGGGCGCTGGAGTATCTTCGGTGCTGCAGAGTTTTTAATCATTGAGCAAACATCACGCGCGCGTTACATACACTTATCTCGATTCGATTTTGAAAGTCTAATTAAGTATATATATGAATTTCGGAGTGCGGGGTTATTCGTACACGCGTGTACAAGCGTCTAGGGATTTATAGCAATAGATTGTCGTTGATATTGTTGTTAACAAGATGGACGGAGTCTGAAGACACAAATAAAAATCGACGACCAGGCGCGCGATTGGGATTGGCTGGTTACCGTAGATAACTACCACGAGATCGAAGTTGAAACTTGTATGGAGAACAAAGTTTTCATCTTGTTAGTTTGAGGGGGTCATTAAGCGATAATTGACCTAGTTGAGTTTGTACTTTTTTTGTCGTTGCGGTCAATTTGTAATTGCAGTTTTTTTTGGGAGGAGGAACTTATTCAACAAAAACATATTGTGAAACATTGCTGTAATCCTTCCATGAAATGGGTGTTTGGCTCTAAAACTACTGGAATTGATTTTTGCATGTTTATCTGCTTGTTGAATATTTATTTGGGAAAAGTTATTTTTGAGAGGTCGATAAATTAATCCAGAGTTTATTAGGTCAAGAAAGTAGGGGTGGATGCACAGAGAGAAAGAGAGAGAGGCAAAAACATTAAATTGTAACTGAAAAAGAGATTTTGTTGATGTTCAACGATGGATACAATCGCTTTTTTTCAGATCAAGCTGGATCATGTGTATGTTGTTCTTTGATTATTGTCAAATACGTGCTCGGTCATTAATTAACGTTATTTGCTGCTTCATTAGTGCTATATAGGTTTCCGAAGTTACACCGAAATTTGTGCATTCAATTACCAAATCTATACACATAAAACTTCATTTTGATTAAAAATACGCATGATTTGTGTCTTTTTTTATTAATATTATTGTTCTTATTCGGTTAATTGTACCTTGATACAGAGTATCATCAGCTGCAGTTGATATACGCGCACGTACTAACTTCTGAGATATTAAATTATTCTTTACCCACGCAACTTTTTTCATTTATTTACTATTAGTTATTTACAAAAAAAAAAGGATAAATAAAAACCAACAATAACAACGAATTAAGTCCAGATTTGAAATTTAAGATAATATTTATCTCTTTGATCTGTTAAAGGCTATTGTATTAGTAAATCTTTGTAAAAGTTAATGTAAGTTATTACTTTTTTTCTACCCGTGGAATTTTAATTAAAAAATGGCATTTAGCTCTATCATTAAATAATAACTATAAATAANGATCCTGCCTTTCGAACCTATATGATCTCTATATTGGCGATCCTACCCTTCGAACCTATACTTTCACGCATCTCCGCATCCTCCACGCCGGGTACACGCAACGCAGCTAATCCCACGCAATTTGCTCGAACCTCTCAACGATACCCACACGATTCGCTCATCACACGAACCCATTCACGCACGACGGCAACGCACCACGCACCATACGATTGCGCTCATAAGCTATAAATTTCAAACCATTAATTAGTCATAACTCATAATAGTTATTTTTAATAGTAATTTTGTTTATTTATTTATTTTTTTACTTTCTTAGATGTCATTCGAAGGTAAAAAATAAACTTTATTCTCAGTCTCAAATCTGGACTTTATTTTTTTTTTATTACCAATTATTATCATTTATCGTTAGCTTATTCACTGAGATAATTTTCACTTGGGTACATACACCAGTTTTCTTGGGTGTCTTTTTCTGATATTTCTTACCATAAATAAGTATTTGAAACTAACCTCAATATCAACATTACCCTTTAATCTATATTGCCAGCTCAGACCGTGAACAGCGCACGACAACTACTATGACAATAGAGTTCCGTGTTAGTAGAAGAGAAAAATTATCTCGTTAAGTACACATATACAAGCCGTACAAACTGAAGTGAATGTAAAAATGCCGGATATTAGTATACAATCGAAAACGATGCCATTAATAGAAAAAGAAAATTTCTTGAAAGATCAAATGCAGTATCAACAGGGATATGAGCCACTCCTCGAAATTTTTCTTCAAAATTTTACCTCCACACTTGAACACAGGCTCTTATGAGGTTCATTTATAGATTTTTATTAAATGTAACTTTTTTTGAAGATTTTTCGTGTCATTTTTTTTGTACGTTTAATATTTTTTATAAGACAGCTTATTTTAAGTTAACTAGGATAACTAAAAAAAAAAAGTTTTGATTTTTTAAAATTATAGTTTGGATACAATTTAATTACTAACTAACATAAGAGTCTATAATAAATTGTAAAATTAAATAATTTTTTTCTCAAAAATACGCCTGGAACAAAATATTGAAAAAATTCATGCACATAATATAGTGTTCTTAAGAAACGTAATTTTTTTTCACCGCTATTTAACATTTATTTATTTTTTGTCGGAACCCACTTATAGAGTATTCCAACTCAAAAAAAAAAATTCAAAATTAATTTTACAGTATTCCAGGTTGTCCCGTTGATGTTATTATTTGGATGGTACATCACACAATACACCTTTTAAAGGGGTTTATGTCAATTTTTAAAAAATGTAATAAATTTTTTTAATTCTTTGGTGGGACCTCATCTGAAAAAGCGCCTGAGATCTCACCTGAGAATTTAAGAATTTTATTACATTTCAAAAAAGTTGACATAAAAAAGACATAAAACATTACTAGCACTGAATACATAGTTCTGTATTTAATTCTGCTGATCTCGCGATTGCTGGATCCCAGGTGAGATCTCATCTGATAGTCGTAGACAAGGTAGGTAGAAAGTGTAGAGCTAACCGTTCAGTAAGGCCGTGTTTTTTGGCTTAACAGAATAAAAAAATTACAAATCTTAAATTAAGTAAACAAATTCCAAAAAAAATGTTTGTAATTACTCACCACATTGACTTTAGGTTGTGTTGCTTCAGAATTGCATGTAATATATATTAGTAAGGCCCCCAATGTAGTCTACTTGTATACAATGCTTAAATTGTTGGCTAATTAGCAAAAAAGTTAGTGAATTCAACAATTTTGAGTTGTGTCACAGCACACAATTCATGAAAAAAAAAAAAAAACTAATACGAAACTATTTAATTCACGTTAGTTACACTTATATTTTTGAAGTTATCTTTCCAATGTTATAAATAGGTGAGAATATCACTCATAGCTCGGAAGACAAAATTGTTTGATCAAACATCGATACAAAATAATAAAATTGGGCTTCAAACAAAAGACTCCAACGGCGATGAGGTACCTCAGGAACAAATCGTCCCCCTACAATATGTTAAAATCGACGAAAAGGCAGTCTTTGCGGATGTTGCATCTATAAACTACGAGGAGAATGACGAGTTGTATGAAATTACTGACTATACATTGCACGAAAGCGAACAGAAAGAGCAAGAAGAAGTAGAAGAAAAAGAAGCATCAGTAGCTGAACCCATGCTCAAACGTCTAGGATTAATGTAATTGTTATCAATTTTTTTACAGTGACATTCTTTTATTTGTGTGCTCATGATGCAAGTTCAAATAAACTGATGTAATCCAGTCGGTTTAGTTCCTACAGGTGGACGGATATTTTCTACAACCATTTTTTCACAGAATATCCTTTCTACTTGTTAAGCTTCAAACGACATCGTTGTTTCCCACGAGAAACTAAATAATCAAAGGGAAATTAAATTCAAAATATAAATGTAGAAGATATATAAAATGAGTTCGGAGACAAATTATTGCAAATAACGTTGAACGAGACGAGCCTAAAATGTGGGAACGAGTAAACGATCGAAAATAATCGAACTCTCCCATCATCTTCAAACAGATAACCTACAGTTTTGAATAAGTTATTATATAGTTTTTTAATTTTAATTAATGAATGCTTGTTGTATACA